ACTAAGTTCGATATTGAGCATTTTCTGCTGAGAGTAAGCAGAACGATAAGCAATTTGATTGGCCGAGACTTTGGAACACAATAACTCTCCTTCTAATTGAGCTAGAATGTTCAAACTTGGTGTAGGTGTTTATGAGGTCAATGCCTTGATAGAGTGCGAAGATGAGCATTTTCTGCTTATGGGGATTTCGGCGGGGGACATCAGCCTCACTGTTGGCTTGTTAACTATAGTTCTAGAAATGTCGGGAGAATGTCACATGATTGCCAATGTTGACAGACAGATCATGCAGGAAGCTATCGCTCTGATGTATCATTCATTAACGCATGAACTAATATAGACATACAGGTGTCGTCCATGCCGATCACTTTAAGGAATTATATTGTAATCAACAATGACAAATATCTACATAGATTATGATGTCATTCGAGGCATTTTAATGTGTAATAGTTTTTTTATCCACCACTATCTGTAATTGTATCTGTATCGGCCAATATATTTCGCTGTCAATATTTGATATAGGTAAAACCGATAGGTGCCATTTCGGACCATCACTATGTTGTTTTTTTTTCATCGTATATATGTAACTGTCTGGTGCAATGTCATTTTATAGGTTTTATAGGTTGCCATGTCTAGATTCACAATAACTTTTCAAACTATTTCTCGGTGATACTTTAGTACATGTCTCTTTTTCCCCTAAAAATATAAATCGTCAACAGAAAGAGACGTTCACGAAAAAATGGCTCTATTCGTTTTCTTTGTTTTGTGGGACGAAGATATCATATTATTTTTCATAAACTACATTGACAAGAGCAGCAAAGTTTACTCATTGCTAATTCATGATATTTTATACAATTTTTTACAAATCGCATTACTTATTACACGAATATGTCATGATTCAAAAGGACCTTTATTGTAAACCAAGGAAAACGATGAAAAATATACAAGTTCTACTCAACCGATTTTAACAAACTTGGCGTCAAATTGAAGCTTACATTCAGAGAAAAATTTCTTTGGGACGAATTGGGTTTATATGAAATAGATTCTATTTCAAACCAGTTTACATAACGACCTATGAAATTTTTTGATTTTCTGGAATTTTGGCATTATTATTGGCACCATGGAAAATACTCCAATAATTTTATTAGGCACTAGCTTAGCTATTTGCATGCTAAAAAATTATTTAATTCGGATCTGAGAACTGAGAACTTTTTAGATTTATGATGAAAATTGATCATTTTTAAGCTGATCTAAAAATTTAATATCTTTAAAACCACAAGAGGTATGTGCCCAAACCAGGGCTTCCTCTTCAAAATTTTCACTGCCGGTCATTTTTGATAACGCACGGAAACTTTTCAAAGTAAATTTATATTTCATGTTTTTTATTCATGCTAGGGTATTGTGAATTCACGTGTCTATACTACTTTGTCACCATGGGGTGCACAAAAAAAAATATATTTGACTTAAAAATTAAATATTAGTAAGGCTCATGATAATTATTTAATAATTAAATATTCCGTTTTGGCTACTTAAATAACGAAATAGTTGAATTGGCCGGAGAAAAACCATTTCAGTAGCTCACACGTAATGAACACGTGCTCTTTAGAAAACACACTGACCTGGATAATTTTGAGTTGTAATACAATAACTTTGAAATGAAGATAAATATATAACTATCCATGGCATATATCTCACATTTTTGGGGTTTTAGACCATCTCTTACGGAATTACAGGCCGCAGAATTGTGACGTAAATCCTAATAATGTATAACTAAATGACTAACGGATAACTAACTTCACGGCTAGCGACACTAGCGCCCCCTAGAATATGGTCGTGTATAAGAGTAACCGTATACATATACACAACATTTCTTCTACACGTGGAATTATCAATATTGCTGCACAATAGAACTGGAATACGTATTTTTCTTAATTGTTCGGTAAGCAAGTTAACTAATCTCTAGATTTTATTTCAACAATTTCCACAAGGTCGTAATACCGCTATAAACATTTTATTTTTAAATGCATTTTTCTTCCAACACGTACGTTGTTGAGGATTTACGTAATTTCTATGCTGTTTTTATTTGATATGACAGTTGGTTGGATTCGAAGAGCAATACTTCATATCAATTGCCCTTTTTCGAAGATCATATTAACCTCGTTTACATTGTGCCTGACCGTAATTGCGGTAAACGGCTTTGTTGTTGAAAATTCTTATGACACGTGGACAATACGTGAATGATTAACAATGGGCCGCTTCACGCCGTTGATTAGATTCCCACTTATCAATTAACATTTATTGCTCGTCTACCAGACACTCATCATTAATTATCAACACAACACTCAGTATAATCTGTTGACGACAATATATACAACTCTATAACACCAATCACGAGATTGACTTCTAGACGACGTGCATTCTTGTATAGTTACACAGTGAAGGTCGATCGTAGTCTGTTTGAAATTTTTTTTTTTTTAAAAAAGACCCTCTTTCCGGCGTGCAAAATGACCGTTAGGTCAGACCTAGGAACTGTCATTTTCCATAGCCGTAGGTCTCGACCAGCATATACGGCCGAAGTGGAACCCATGGCCCAAACTATGACTTGAATCGCAGCTTTAGATGTCTATATAAAGATCATACCAAATTAGTTGCAACTCCCTTAATACAAATGTTGTAGCATCAGGGGTCGACCCGACTGTATTCTCCATCTTGTTTTTCAAAATGGCCACCAAAATTGAAATTATTTGAATTTTCTTATCTTATATTTGGTACTATATTGTGTAATATATCATTTTAAAGGTTTTCGGGGGTGCTGAATACGAAAAACATGGTTTTGGGTTGATGCAACAACTATTTATCATTTTACATATTCAATGATTTTATGATCACTCATCAGTTATGGACACACCTTGCAGGGTAGGGTATACCAATGAAACAACAGTATGCAACAGACTTTATCACCAATTGTCCACCTTATGCTATCAAGTATAAGAAAAGAGAATGTTAGTGTACTAATGATCAAAGATATCGTATTAATATGATTTGACTATTGTATACACCTTAATTAATTGGGTACTGATTGATCTACTGTTTTGACTGCCGAGTTCTAATTAAAAGAGATAGTACTAGCCCTTATGATCAAAGATACAGCATTAACTTGGTTTGACTATACACCTTCATTGAAAGTAGTTATTATAGCCATTTTGTATACTACAGAGTTTATTGTATGGCACAGGGGTCATGGTGGCTAAGCGGGTAAGACGCTGGCTTGCTAGCCTGGAGGTCGGGTGTTCGATCCCTGCATTGGCAGAGAAAGTTCATCCAGATTTTCTGGCGTGATTCCCCCATGTAAGTGATGCAGGACCGAGGGCCTGACAAGGACAGCTGTCTAGTCATTCGGATGTGACAAAAAACGAGATCCCGTGTACACATTGGCATGCATGTAAAAGATCTCTTGACAGTTGGAATTTGATATAAGAGTAGGACGTAGTGCCGCTGTCAGGGCAAAATATCCCTCATAGCACACTGTATGGCATATGCTCAACTTCATTAGCCCAGTTCAGATCAGAGCTGAACAGTAGGACGTTAAAACTCCAGTTAATTTCCTTTCATTTCATTTCGTATGGCACGGTTACAATACCAGTGAATTGATAACTATAAACAAAGGCTATTTACAGTTGATATAATTGAATTACGAGAATTTAATTTATTAATTCATTGGGCATGGGTGACTGTTTAACCTTCAGGAATGGAACAGGGCGGTTGTGAGAGCTCTCATTTACTTGCAAATGAATTGAATGCACTGAAATCTGGGAGTCTTTGACGAAGGACGCAGCCATGATACATATTTTTAGAAAAAGCAAGTTAAAGATGTCGGTATGTTCTAAAACAACATCACATAATGCCTTTAAATTATTTGTTATTTTGTCGTTTAATATTAATATTTTTTTTCTTTACATTTTCAAGGGTGCTAAAGACGAAAATCGTAGTAAATGCACTCTTTTCATAGCAAATATCCACAACACATGGGGCATGTTCACATTTCCTATGATAGCGTTATAATTGAGAACAATCTATGTATTAGTAGTTTAAGTTTTGTATATTATAACTTTGGTGAGTTAATCTCATAAATCAATTAGCATCAATTCACTTTGTGTGGTGCAGTCCCCCTGCACTTACTATTTGTACCAGTGGTCAGAAGATTATGGTTGCTGATTGGGTAATCAAGTTTAGTAGCCTACCTTGATCATCAGAGAAGCTACTACAGCTGTAAGAGTATTCTGTGAAGGACTGAATTACGATTTTGCATGTACAATAGGTCCATTGTTATTTTCAGGTACCGTAACAGTATAAGAATATGAATCCATAATAGAATGATAGAAATTTCAATTTCATACGAAACGAGATACCCCATAACATTATCCCCAAAATCAAATTTCTATCATCCGCTTGAGCTTGATACGGCCATGTAACAACAATTCTTTGCAAGCTGTGTCTGGGCTAATCAGCTAACGAGTGGTGTTGGCAGCATAGCAACAAGCAAGAGTTTGTTTACATTTTTAGGGGTTTTAAAACTCGTTTGTATTCCTTCATCGGCAATACTTTGGTCATATTTATTATCTAGATATTCTCCGCTTTGCAACGATGCCAAGTATTATGCAAGAGGACTGACCGGTCGTCCTGCTGCGAGCGGAGAAAAATATCTAATTTCGCTGAGAATATTCAGAAAAATCAATATTTCCACTTATTTTGTCTTTATCTCATTATTAGATCAAGCGCATTCCAACCGTAGCCGGTCACATATATGTTTATGTCCCAAAAATCTTGGTTCTTTTCGATATTGACGCATGTCAAACCGTAACATCCTGGATTATGGGCCTAGATTGTACGAAAATTCGTTTTTTTTTCGTGTTCTCTGTCCATCTCTTGCCAATTGTGGGCGTATTTCTACTAGAAGTTTTAGGCAACCGCTTGTTCATTACTTTATTAATATATGATTACAGGGTTTGATCACAGAAGAAGAATTTCCAGTACATTATAGGTAAACATGAAAACAAATATGCGTTGTTGTGATTTTTTGTAAGCCTTTTTCACTCCTCAGTCTGTCAATTGTTGCAACATGTTTATTGTCATAAAGTTGATGTTGAATGGTAAGTTGGCCACCTTGCTCTTCAGTTACAGAGAATATGATAGGGGAGGAGTATGCGACAAGAGATAAAAGAAACAAAAAGTTGCATGAATTTGGTTGTGCATAAATAGATGTATTTACTCTCTTGTGATAATTAGGTTTTGAAGAGACTTCACACTATTCATTTAGATAATTAGTACAGTTAATTATGATCATGGATTGATCATCACCTGGTTTTAAAATGCTAAATTGTATTTCATTTATTTAGACTTTACATTTAGATAATTATAATTAGTACAGTTAATTATGGTGGTGGACCTGGTTTTAAAATTGTAAATTGTATTTCATTTATTTAGACGAAGATTACAAGTGAAAGGTTTATGTTTTGATGAATTACTCAAGTCAATTCTTGGTTTTAATAATTCCGGCAACGCTCAGTTTTTACAGAAGCATCATTCACTGGACGATCAAGAGTCATTGATGAGAGGACTACATGGGTAGGTATTGCTTATTCTAGAGGAAAAACATAGACAGGCCTTAGGCCGTGTTGAATTGATTCCTTGTTTCTCCTGCAACCATTCTGGGAAACATGTGCAGTAGTGCAATAAACACAACACAAATTGGGTTTCAAAGCACAAAATGTTCTAGCATGCTATAATACTACCTAGGCTTGAGGGTGGTGTACTTTTTACTTATAATCTTAATTAGTCTAAATAACCCTTTACTGTGAAGGTAAAGACAAAGACGATATTTGTCTTCAATAGATTTAAGAACTAAATTTTGATACCAAGTGGCTTCTTGTTTAAGTTCTTAAAATATGAAATAACTGGACTTTGATGGAGTGAATTCACAGTCAAATTTATGCATGTAACAACGTATTTGACACACACACACATGGATCGGCCTACGCTTATTTTCATTTGTTTGACTCTAATGTATAGCATTATGAAGTATATCGAACTGTAACTTCCTGATTTATAGCCCCTGATTATACGAAAAATCAAGTTTTTTAGCTTGTGGATCCTATGGAGGTCACAATTTTATTATGATTTAAAAAGCATTTGAATATATCATCGTTACACCTTAATGCCGGCTAATTTCAAATTTCGTGAAAATCGGACCAAAATGGCCACCCCTCGAGTGCAAATAGTGTAAAAATATTGTATATGGACCCTCTAGAGCTCACAATTTTGATCTGGTTTTGATGAAACTTGAAATACATGTTTATAACCTAAAGATCTTGGTTCCTTTCGATATTTGCGCATATCGGATGGTAACTTCCTGAATTATGGCCCTTGACCTGTACGAAAAATCGCGTTTTTAGCTTGTGGTCCCTCTAGAGGTCACAATTATTATCCGATTTAAGAAACCATGTGAATATATCACCGTTACACCGTATTGTTAGTTGAGTTCAAAATTCATGAAAAAACGGACAAAAACTGCCAGACAAAATGGCCGCCTTTCGTATGCTAATAGTGTAAAAATATGGTATATCAAGGTTGTGGACTCTCTAGAGGTCACAATTTTCATCCGATTTTGATTAAACTTGAAATGCATATTTATAACCCAAAGATCTTGGTTCCTTTTGATATTCGCGCTTATTGGAATGTAACTTCCTTAATTATGTCACCATTAAACCGTATTGTTGGTTGAGTTCGAATTTCATGAAAATCAGACCAAAACTGCCAGACAAAATGGCCCCCCTCCCCGCACACAAATAGTTTGAACATCTGTAGTCCGGTGGCTGAAGGGGGGGAATCGCCACCCGAGCTGTGAATTTATGAGACCAAGTTTTTCTAGACCAGTTTTTTGCGTAGATTCCGAATCTGGGTGGTGATCAGGCGTTTGAGGGGGCGTTTTCGAGATATATGGGGGTCCAATGTCTACAATTGGGGGGCAATGTCATGTTGACATAAATGATTATCATGTTATATATTAATAAAACATAAATTTCTAGGACTGTCCATCTCTAAAGAAGTGTGTATGATGCCCCTGGACAACCGTTTTGATTTGTGGCGAAGTGGGGTGGGTTGGTTGCAGGTTTCCGTGTGAGGAGTTGGGGGGGGGGGTAAAATTGGCAGGAAATGAGCTCACGTCGATTTAAATGAAGATTTTCTTAGAGCCTGCAAATGAAACATCTGTAAATATGTTTATAAGATTCCCATTGTATGGGGGTGGGCGCCGGGGTGCGTGCCTTTTCGTTTAGTACCTATTTCGTCATTCAATATATTAAATTATAAAGGTACTTCTCAAGAGATCTGGAAATATAAATCAAAAACACAGTAAATCAAAGACATGTTTAGGTATTAGTTTATTCTTAGTCTTCATCAGAAGATTCAAAATCAAGGGTCATAATATGAGCGGGATAAATATCTGCTTGGTTGTAGATCTTCATTCCAGCCATGCAGCAAAAGACCACTACGGCAAGGTGGTAATAAAGAAAGGCCTGTTATTTTTTTCACCTAGAAAATCTTTCTTCTAGCATCATCTACTGATGTATATCGCCTTCCGCGATATTTTCTACCTTTGCCCGTTTCATTATTGACCAGAATGTGTATATTTGGATCATTGTTTGCGAGGAGAATGATTGGGATGTCTATTTAGCCCAAGCAAGAACGCAAAATACAATTTGTTTCAGCGCCTCCATTAATTTGCAATGCGAGGAGGAGTAGGTTAGCTATTTTGGTGTCCTCATGGTTTGTTGTCAGTTCTAGGATATTCTCGACACTTTCAATACTAGTCTTGATATATTTTTTTTATCCAATCAAGATTAGTATTGAAGTGTCAAGAATATCTTGGCCTACATGCTTTCAGTGGTAATGACTAATTGTCTTTCTTTTTCCAATTTTCAAACAAATTTAAAGAGCTGGGACAGCAAAATGATGTTTCAGTAACATGTACGGCGAAAGGCGACTTACGTCAGCAGATGACACTAAAAGAAAGATTTTCTGGAGGAATTTTAATTGTGATGAAAAATATCAAACATTTCTTTCTTTATTACCATCTTGCCTGAGTAGTCTTTTGCTGCACATTAAACGCAACAATTATGTTGCTACAACATGGGGACAGGCTGCAAAACCAATGATTGAACAAGATGATCCTGCGATACAAGGCTGGAATGAAGGTTTACAATGTGAATGGGTATCTGAAGTATATCCAAAGGATATATGCGAGCTGTTGATTAGCCATCCAGAAGATATCTATCCCGCTCATATTTTGAACTTTCTTCTAATGAAGATTAAGAATAAACTAATATCTAAACATGTCTCTGATTTACTGTTTTTATGTACATTTCCAGATCTCTTGAAAAGTACCATTATAATTAAATATTTGGAATAACGAAATTCGTACTGAACGAAAAAGCAAACCGGTTAAAATACAAATGTATATTTCGTTCGGTTTTTCTTATACTTTCGATGGCCTACACTACATGAAGATCTGACCTGTTGTACTGGGAAGTCGCGTCAGGAGTGATATGAGCGGATTTTGACCCTATGACGTCAGACATTGATTAATCAATCAGCGTTGACATTTCTGGGGGTTTACCCACTGTTCCGTGCAGAGCACGCCAAGAACTCGCGGTAACAGACCACTTCATTGGCTAATTTTAAACCAAGTGGTTTCTGTCCCCAAAATTACACCCTCCCCCCTCCCCTCGCCCCATACAATGGGAATCTTACACCCATATATAGAGGTGTGCAGCGGAATTAGAAAGTAATGTTTTTACCAACCTCTAAGAAAATCATAATTTCCCGCCAATTTTTAACCCTCCCTCCCACACACCCTCCATACACGCTCACCTGCTACCCCCCACCCCACCTCCCCACAAATCAAAACAGTTGTCCAAGGGCATCATACACACTTCTTTAAAGATAAACAGTCCTAGAAATTTATGTTTTATTAATATATAACATGATAATCATTTATGTCAACATAATGACATTGCCCCCCCAATTGTAGACATTGGACCCCCATATATATCTCGAAAATGCCCCCTCAAACGCCTGATCACCACCCAGATTCGGAATCTACGCAAAAAAACTGGTCTAGAAAAACTTGGTCTCATAAATTCACAGCTCAGGTGGCGATTCCCCCCTTCAGCCACCGGCCTACTGGTATATCAAGGTTGTGGACCCTCTAGAGGTCACAATTTTTATCCGATTTTGATGAAACTTAAAATGCATGTTTATAACACAAAGATCTTTGTTCCTTTTGATATTCGATTCCCCCCCCTTCAGCCACTGGACTACTGGTATATCAAGGTTGTGGGCCCTTTAGAGGTCACAATTTTGATCCGATTTTGATGAAACTGGAAATGCATGTTTATAACACAAAGATCTTTTGATATCCGATTTTGATGAAACTTGAAATGCATGTTTATAACACAAAGATCTTGGTTTCTTTTGATATTCGCGCATATTGGATCATAACTTCCTGAATTATGTCCCGTAATTGTACAAAAAATCGAGTTTTTAGCTTGTGGTCAGCTCGGGTGGCGATTCCCCCCCTTCAGCCACCGGACTACTGGTATATCAAGGTTGTGGACCTTCTAGAGGTCACAATTTTGATCCGATTTTGATGAAACTTGAAATGCATGTTTATAACACAAAGATCTTTTGATATCCGATTTTGATGAAACTTGAAATGCGTGTTTATAACACAAAGATCTTTTGATATCCGATTTTGATGAAACTTGAAATGCATGTTTATAACACAAAGATCTTGGTTCCTTTGATATTCGCGCATATCGGATCGTAACTTCCAGAATTATGTTCCCTGATTGTACGAAAAATTGCGTTTTTAGCTTGTGGTCCCTGAAGAGGTCACAATTATTAACTGATTTAAGAAAAACGTTTGAATATGTCACCATTAAACTGTATTGTTGGTTGAGTTTGAATTTCATGAAAATCGGACCAAAACTGCCAGACAAAAAGGCTGCCCCTCTACGCAAATAGTGTAAACATCTGGTATATCAAGGTTGTGAACCCTCTAGGGGTCACAATTTTGATCCCATTTTAATGAAACTTGAAATGCATGTTTATAACCCAAAGATCTTGGTTTCTGTCGATATTCGCACATATCTGATTGTACCTTCCTGAATTATGGCCCTTGATTTTTCAAAAATTGCTTTTTGGTTAGCTTGTTCTCTATCCATCTCTTGAAAAATGTGGGCGTATCCTGCCTGGCAGCCGCTGGTTTTAAATGCAAGATGATGTTGGCATACAAATACAAAACACGATGATATGAATATTATATGACTTGAATTTATATTGTTGCTATGTATTATTATTCTAAAAGATTTGTGGTAAATATAATATTACATATGAATACAAACCAGACTTGTGTGAATATTCCATAGTTTGATTTTCTATTGTTGCTGTGACGAAAAGTGAAGTGACTATATATCATCATTGTTATGCATACTACCTCAGTTTTTAAAAAAAAAAGAAAGATAATGTCTCGCAATATGATCAAGCAAAGGTGGTCATCCTAATTC